GAACGTGGCCGGGAGGGGCGCGTCGGTGGCGGCAGCCATCGTGCTGGTCCATGTCTGCCCGGTCCCGGCTGGTCGAGCGTGCTGGTCCGCGTCCGCCCGGTCCCGGCAGCGGTCAGCCGAGCGTGCTGGTCAGCTTTCTCACCTCCAGCTAGCATCAGGTGAGCGAGGTGCCCGTGAACGCTCGTCCATGGTGCACCTAGCACCTGGCATTTTGTTGCAGCAGGCCACGAGCTTGTCCCTGAGTCCGTCCACCTCAGCCTGCTTGGACTAGAGCTAGCGCTAGAGATCGTCGAACGCAGCCTCGTACGGCGCCACTGCCTCGTGCGTGCCGATGTCACCGCGGCCACCGCGCGTTGGCGCCTGCGGCTAGCGGCTTCCCGCACCCGTGGCCAGGACTTCCCCGCGGAGGCGCCAGCGGCCGGCGGCTCCCGCGCTGCGAGCCAAGCGCTCCCACACCAGCCTGGAGCTCGCGGCTGGGCGGGCGCGGCCCTGGCCGACGAGGGCGCGGTCGCGGTCGCGGCGGCCATCGGGGCATGGACAGAGGACCGCGACGAGGTTGTGGCTGCATCTTCGTTATTGAAATGTGCAGTTCACGTGCTTCGTCCGCCACGCTGGCGCTGCCACGTCGCTCGGAGGCCGCGCCGGATGGGAAATGGGCCTGCGGTGAATAACTTCACAAGTTCAGGGACCTATTTTCCGCGTTTATAAGTTCATGGACCGAACCGGCACAGGCCGACAAGTTAAATGGCCGCCAGTGTATTTCACTCTTATTAGTTCTAGGATCAGGTGTCTTGTCTTCATCACGAGCCGTCTATAAAATATATCTGTGTAATAGTGAACATCACTGAGAAGAACGACGCTTCTAGGTTTGAAGTTGTTGCATAATTGATCCATGACTTGATCTTATTAGCCTCCACCTCAATCTTCATTCTGTCTCGCTCCTTTGTGAAGCATATTCTTCCATTTCTACAGAAAGGACAAACTAAGATATATGACTTCGGCTGGGCTCTTTGGATTTTTCTTTCTATGGATATCTTGTTACACGCACGCCAAATAGCCCAAGTTGTGCCTGGAAAAATGAACATACTAATACGTCCAGGTGCGTTGGTTTATTACGCAGCCAACATCCCCGAAACTCAACAATGGATTTAGGGAAGCCTACCCAAAGTAAATACTTCTCTAAATCAACTCCAATATATCAAATTAAAACGAGTCAGCAAACAGCCAAAGAGAAGATATGACCAACTGTTCCTTTTTCCCACAAAGACTACAGGTATTGCATTGTCATTTCTTATGTTAATGATTCAACTAAACAGCTATGTGCAAATTAACGAGCTCCTCCTTGTCAGCGGAACAAAGAGTTGACACTGACTCCGTTATTTTATCAAATGTGTCACTTTCTTCTGAGTAAACGCTAGCAATTCTGGCATGCACCCACCGGTATGAAGCTTCCAGTACTAAATTTCCATGATAAATTAGTAAGAGGTAGTAGTGCTATAATCCTCTCCTCTCCCATCAACACCTCAATCCATGTCAACGCCATCCGTACCATCTCATGATAAGGCCCCGGCCCGTACTCATCAGCCACCGTACATAGCTCCATCCGGCGAAAGGATCAACACAAAGACGACGGAGTGCCGGCATCTCGTCGCAGCTGCAGCGCTGCCAGCATGGTTGCTTCTTTCGTACCCACATCGACTATCCCAGAATTGGAGAACAGCCCGGCGACCAGCAGCATAGGTACGCTGATCTTCAGCTACACCTGCGTCGGCCTCACGGGCATAACGCTCTTCGCCGTCCTCTTCTTCTACTGCTACCACCAGTTGTTCCGCAGACGAGCGCCAGTCACCTTCGCCGGAGCAGAGATCAATCCAGGGCCAGAAGGCCGCCATATCGGCGTGGACATCACCAAGGTTCCTGAGTTCGCGTATACTCAGTCATCGAGGCGCAGGGGCAACGGCGACGGAGCGCAGTGCTCGGTGTGCCTCGGCACGGTGCAGGGCGGCGAGATGGTGCGGCGGTTGCCCCTGTGCAAACACCTGTACCACGTGGAGTGCATCGACATGTGGCTGGCGTCGCACGCAACGTGCCCACTCTGCCGATCTGACGTCGAGCCGCCGGGGGAAGCGTCGACGGAGCCGCCCGAGGCTCTGCCGGTGTAGTTCGGCGCTGATAATTTGTTTGTGCCTCCGGCGGTCACGTTAAATCGTAGCTTATCACCTGTGTAGTGCAGTTGTGTATACATCAAGACTTTGTTGGACCATCTCTTATTCTCTTCATCTTTTCAGTGTTGTTCTACAATTTTGCAAATTTTAACTGCTAGTAATTTTCAGCAGCGCGCTGCACATGCACCACCTAATCCGTAGGAGGGTTTGGTTTATTTGGTTAAAAATTAAAAGCATAGGCGAACTGATTGTAGCTCAGCTGGTTGGGTCTATGTGGTGAAACCTATCCAGCCGGGTACAAGTCGCCGACTTGAAATGGATGCTCACATTTTCCTGGAGTCATTCCAGGATTTAACGGCGCTTTTCTTTTAGTAGTAGGCGACCCGACGATAGCGAGGCGCATGTGGTGGCTTCGTCAATTTTGAAATTTGTCAGTTCAGCTCAGTTTATCGGAGGTGATCATAGGGGTCAGGTGTGCGTACGTGCATTCATAGGGGTAAGTGTGCATTCATGTATGTAAGCTTCTGCGTCTATAACTGGGTCTCGAATAAAAAAATTAAAGCATAGGAAAGACCGAAAGAGAAAACAGAGAGCCCCTATTTTATTTTTGTTTTTCCTTTTAAGTGAAAAGTATTAGAATGCAATATTTTTCATTTATATGAAACATATGTATGGCATCTTGGAGTTGAACTCCCAGTCCCAGCCACACTTGGCATTCCCCATCTATCGGTGGTGGGACTTGACCGTGCCGGCACGGGCAAAGCCCTCTCGTGCTCGTGGCTATTTTGGGTCATGCTCTCTAAGCACGCGAGTCATGAATCTTTTCTGCGGTTCAAGCACGGCCATGGCATGCAGGCACGCCTTCAGTTCGTGTCGGCTCAAGCATGGCCCTCAAAATAACTCTACTTGTTTTCTTAAATTGCTCGTGACATAAAAAATATATTTTATGTATATATTTTTATGAAAGTTTTAATGATTTTTATAATCTATTTAAGAATTAAATAAGAGGTAGTTAAATGCTAGAAAATTGCATTGTAGCGTTGTTGATGTGCTTACGTGCCATTTTTGTGTCGTGTCGACCCAAGCACGGGCCAAAATACAGGGTGAACTACGTAGTCCATTGTGCCAAGATTCTAGACATGACATGACCCACACGTTCGTGTCGTATCAGCACGGCCCAAAATATTTCATGCCATGCCTTGCTTTAGGGCTTGCCAAAAGACCGTGCCATGGCCCCCTTTTAAATGGCACGGCCCAAGCCCGGTATGCCATATTACTTCTGCTTTATTTACAATATATTTCCGGTAGTGACGTTTGTAGTATAAAATTTAAGACAAATACAATACAGATATCCCTTCCTATCCCTACTGTTGACTTTGTTCCTTTGTTTAATTTAACTTTTCATTTTTTCTATAAAATATTTGGGAAAATGGTGTTCTTGCCCCTTACATATATGTGCAATTATGATTTTGTCCTCGTTTTTCTAACTTTGTGATTTTGCCCTTAACTGTTCACAAGTCAACGGGATTTTGTCCCTGGTCAACGCGAATTTGCCCTTGTTTTTATCGTTGACCAGGGGCAAAATCGCGTTGACTTGTGAACGGTTAAGGGCAAAATCACAAAGTTAGAAAAATGAAGGCAAAATCACAATTGCACATCAAAGTAGGGGCAAGAACACAAGAGCCCCAAAATATTTTTATGAAAAATAGAGGAGCATATAATAGGACACGCTTAAAGTACTTTTGATAATAATTTGGTGGAACTATTTTCATTCTACCCAAGTAATACTTGAATAAATATTATTTGCCAAATATAGGTTGAGCAACAAATCAATGGTATCATACATCTATAAAGGTGTGTTGTGAGGGTGGGGATTGCTTCTTCCAGGGAAAGCACGAATGATTTAGTGCTGAACAACGAAACTATATCAGTTCCATCCAAAAAGCTATTTCATCATCATGTGCTCTTACGTGGCCTTGGCTTGTAATATTAAGGATCGGAACTATATCATCTACAGGTGACTGTCATTGGTGGTCTTATTTTTGAGTTCTCTTTTCAGTAGTCAGCTTACAGTACCATAGCTAGTTGGTCACCATAATGTACATGAGAAAATTCCTTTAATAGGAATTTGCAAATAGTATAAAAGGTAGTGTCGTAGGTTCGATTCCATGGCGTAATTGGGTTGTTCGATGCGGGTCGATGCGTGAGTCTTTGGTGGCTTAAGCACTCAAAATACAAGGGGTTTATCTTGATTCAGACGTCTAAGCCGTACGTCGAGCAACAATGTTCTTTATCTTAGGAATGCTCAATCGAGTTGTCACAATCGAGAGAGAGAGGGGTGATGGAGAGGTGCATATGCTACTGTAGTAGGGTTTCAGTGGATCGGACGAGGAGCCGATCCAAGGCTGAGTGTCTCAAATCAACTCGTAGGTATGGCATTGTCGTTTCTTATGTTAATGATTCAACTAAACAGCTATGTGCAAGCGAGCTCCTCCTGGTCAGCGGAACAAAGAGTTGACACTGTCTCCATTATTTTATCACATGTGTCACTTTCTTCTAAGTAAACGCTAGCAATTCATGCATGCACCCACCGGTATGAAGCTTCCAGTACTAAATTTCCATGATAAATTAGTATGAGTAGTACAGCTGTAATCTTCTCCTCTCACATCAACACCTCAATCTATGTCAACGCCATCCGTACCATCTTCATGATAAGGCCCCGGCCACCAGTTCGTACTCATCACCCTGGCCGTACATCATATCTCCATCCGGCGAAAGGGTCAGCTCAAAGACGACGGAGTGCCGGCATCTCGTCGCAGCTGCAGCGCCGCCAGCATGGCTGCTTCTTTCTTACCCACACCGACTATCCCAGGAGCGGAGCACCGCCCGGCGACCAACAAAGCAGGTACGCTGATCTTCAGCTACACCTGCGTCGGCCTCACGGGCACAGCGCTCTTCGCCGTTCTCTTCTTCTACTGCTACCGCGAGTTGTTGCGCAGACGAGCGCCAGTCATCGCCGCCGGAGCAGAGAGCAATCCAGGGCCAGAAGGCCACCATATCGGCGTTGACATCACCAAGCTTCCTGAGTACGCGTACACTCAGTCGTCGAGGCGCAGGGGCAACGGCGACGGGGCCCAGTGCTCCGTGTGCCTCGGCACGGTGCAGGCCGGCGAGATGGTGCGGCGGCTGCCCCTGTGCAAACACCTGTACCACGTGGAGTGCATCGACATGTGGCTGGCGTCGCACGCAACGTGCCCACTCTGCCGGTCTGACGTCGAACCGCCGGGGGAAGCGTCGACGGAGCCGCCAGAGACTCTGCCAGTGTAATTCAGCGCTGATGATCTGTTTGTGCCTCCGGCGGGCACGATAATTAAATCGTAGCTTGTCACCTGTGTAATGCATTTGTGTATACATCAAGACTTTGTTGGACCATCCCTTATTCTCTTCATCTTTTCAGTGTTATACCTATTTGCAAATTTCAACTGCTAGTAGTTTTCAGAAGCTGCACATCCACCACCTAATCCGTGAGAGGGTTCTGTTTATTGAATTTTTTTAAAATAATATTTTTAATGAATAATTGCAAACTAGGCCCCCGATCAGTCCAGCCAGGACAGGCCAGTGGACCCATGTCGGCCGGACAGGCATGTTGGCCCCCGGAGAGCCGACAGAGCCATATCTCACCAGTCATCTTCTCTCTCTCTCTCTCTCTCTCTCTCTCTCCTCCGTCGCTCTCTCTCTTGCTCTTCCCAGCGTGCAGTCGCCCGCCGCCGCCTCTGCCGCACGGGCGGCTTGGGCTCGACGCCAGCAGCCGGATCCGGTAGAGGGCGTGCCGCCGCCGCCCACCTAGCCCGCGCGGGTCCCCACACCCCACATCGGCCGCTGCTCGCTCGGTGTTCTCAGGGTATGTTTTTTGTTTAGTTAGTTTTTGTTAGTTTACTTTATTAGTTAGATTTAGTTTAGGATTACTCTTAGTTTTGGGGTTAGGTTTTGTTATTTTAGTTTATTAATTATATTTTATTAGTTTAGTTTATTAGTTAGGTTTTTGTTATTTCTTTCATATTAGGGTTATTTATTTTACTTTATTAGTTTAGTTAGATTTTTTTTGTTTGTAGTTGTGGGTTAGGGTAACTTTAGTTATTAGGTTTTCTTCTAGATTAGGGTTAGTTATTAGGTTTTGTTTCTAGTTTTAGGGTTAGTTTTAGATTAGTTGTTAGTTTTGGTTATAGTTGTACATTAGGGTTAGTTTTAGGGTTCAAATATTCATGGTACCTCAATTAAATTACACAATATTTTGCACGATACGAACAAGAATGTCGACCGATTTAGTCCCTTTCAGAACAAGAATGGCAACGGTGAAATCAGATATGGGGATAGAGGGGAAGACCTTAGCGAGTTCCAGTTGTTTGACACAGAACTGAATTCGCCGTTAGATTATAGCAGGAAACAAGTTTTAGTCTGGCTGCATGAGCACTTTGGTGTTCCGCCCCCCAGCATCATTTCAGGATTGGTATGTTGGTGCCTAAAAAGCGGGAGAATGGATGGAGATGGGAGCTGTACGAGGCTAGTAACACGAAGAAGTGGCATTTTCTTTTGTGCAAGGCGTTGGAGCGCCGTTATGCCAACATCATGTCGGCTGAATTCCTAGATGGTGGCATGCAGCATGAGAGTAGCAACACATGTGCAGCAGAGGACAACTTAGAGGCGGCAAATGCTGAGCAGACCTATGTTTGCGATCCTCAAGCAGTTGAGAACACGACGGGGGTTGGACAAGCGGAAAAGTATGGTCGGTCCATGGAAGCTAACCTAGGTGAGGAGGACAAAAGAATCGTCGAACAGATGGAGGATGACGATCCGGAGCACTTCGCCTTCGTGGATGAATTTGCTGGCAGGAGGTTTGACGACGAGACCGACATCCCTAAGGACTGTGTTCACATCGCACCTGATGCCATGACAGTCGATGATGGTCATCATTCTTCGTGGAGTACTCAAGGATTGAGGTTAGACAAGGGCAGATGTTTCATGACAAGGTTCATCTGCAACACGCTATTTGGCGGTGGGCTTTTTCTGAAAAGAGGTACTTTATGGTGGTTATTTCTAACCCCATGACGTGGGACGTTAAGTGTGTCATCCCGGGTTGTACTTGGCATGTTCATGCTCATATGCTACGTATCGAGAGCAACTTCATAGCCACTATTGTCGAACCACACACTTGCTTGCTACAATCTTCACTGAACAAGCATAGGAACATGACGGCGGCTTTCTTTGCAAATGAAATGTACGACGAGGTTGTTGAAAAATCTAGCATGTCTCCTTTTCGGATAATGCTTGCTATTCATAATAGATTTGGCTATGAGATTTCTTATGACATGGCTTAGAGAGCAAAACAGTTGGCCTTGGAGAAGAGATTCGGTACGTACATGGACTCATATCACCACCTTCTAGCTCTTCTAGAAACCATTCAATCGAGAAACCCTGGCACTATAATTGATATTGATGACTACATAAATGAGAAGAGAGACCATTGAAAGCTCTAGTTTGGTTTTCGTAAATTGATAAAACCCTAAGTGCTAACCTAGTTTATCTAAGTGAACATGAGATAGGTAGCACTGTTCCAAGTGGTAGAGCAATGGAGAAGATCATGATGATGGTGTGACCATGGTGATGATCAAGTGCTTGGACTTGGAAAAGAAGAAAGAGAAAAACAAAAAGCTTAAGGCAAAGGTGAAACTTGATAGGAGCTTTTTGGTTTAGTGATCGAGCACTTAGCGAGTGTGATCATATTTAGGATCGATAGCTGTACTATTAATAGGGGTGAAACTCGTATTGAAATGTAATTATCAAAGTGCCACTAGATGCTCTAACTCATTGCATATTCACTTAGATCTAGTGGAGAGCTAACACCCTTGAAAATGTTTGTGAAAATATGCTAACACACGTGCACAAGGTGAAACACTTGGTGGTTGGCACATTTGAGCAAGGGTGGTGAAGTTGGTGAAGTGAAGGAGGTGTTTTTCCCTGAGAAACAGTGACCGGACGTAGGTCACGTGATGACCGGACTCAGAGGTGCAGCGTCTGGTCAATTATAAAGCAAGGTGGCGCGCTCGGGCTGGTTTGGCCATGTGACCGGATGCTGGGTAACTTTGTGACCTGACGCGCAGGGCCTACGTCCGATCAGTGCTGACGTACTTTGACGCAATCATTTTTGAGAAGCAAAGGAGGACCGAACTCTGGCGTGCGTCTGATCGTGGGAGAGCGAACACGTCCGATTGCGTTTTTGAGGCACTGGAACCTCTCTGGAAACGACCTGACGCCGGGATCTCGTGGTGAGCAGCGTGTCCGGTCAAGGCGTGGTAGTGGCGCGTGCACGTGGGTTGACTTGGTACCGGCACGTCCGGTCTTCAGGACGGCGCGTCCAGTCTTAACACGCGAGGGTTTGAACTCAACCGTTAGAATCGTGTGGACGACGTTGAACCAGGGGGACACGTGGATGGAGATCTACGACCGGACGCTGGGGGCCTGCGTTCGGTCAATACGATATGCGCGTCCGATCGCCCCGAGTTGGGCTGCTCTGTGAGCCCAACGGCTCTATTTCGTGGGGGCTTCTATTTAAGCCCCTTGGCCAGCTCAAGCTCACTCTATTAGCCATTTACATTGACATATCAACCTTTTGAGCTTAGCCAAAGTCCTCCCACTCATCTCCATCAATGATTCATCATCTTTGTGAGATTGGGAGTGAATCCAAGTGCTTTGCTTGAGTGATTGCATCTAGAGGCACTTGGTGTTCGTGTTTCGCTGTGGGATTCGCTTGTTACTCTTAGTGGTTGCCGCCACCTAGATGGCTTGGAGCAGTGAGGATCGTCGAGTGGAGGTTGGTGATTGTCTCTGGCTACGATCATGGTGGTTGTGAGGGGTTATTGACCTTTCCCCGACAGAGAGCCAAAAGGTACTCTAGTGGATTGCTCGTGGCTTGTGTGATCCTCATCTTGTGTTGGTTGTGCGGCACCTAATTGCGGGTTTGGCGTGTGATGCCAATTAGCGCGTGAACCTCTAAGTGAGTGAATCGCCACAACGAGGACTAGCTTGTCGGAAAGTAAGTGAACCTCAGTAAAAAATCATGTGTCATCATTGTCCGAGGTTTTCTTGGTATTCATTGATTGGCTCCATCATTTTGTGATTGGCTCTATCCTCGACACGACGGTATAATCATCACATCCCCTACCTTGCATTTACATTTCTAGTGTTGCTTCGCTCTTTAGTGTAATTAGTTTTGAGAGCAAGCTTGAGTCGAGTCTAGTGGTTAGTGTGGCTCTTTAGTTAGCCCTTGGGAGCACACTAACTTAGTATAGTGACTTAGCCTTTGTGTGCTTAGAGATTATAGTGACTAGAATTGAGGTAGGTGGCTTGCATTTTTTGTAGGCTAGCGTAACACTCGCTTCGCCGTTTAATTGTCTAACATCTTTGCTAAGTGTTGTTGTAGAAATTTTCAACACGCTATTCACCCCTCTCTAACCATTAGGACCTTTCAAGTGGTATCGGAGCCATGGTTACCGTGATTTGAGGCTTAACAACCTTCGGTGTTAATATGGCTCAAATCAACAACACCAAGAAGGCACCCCAATTTGATGGCTCCAACTATCCTTATTGGAAGGCTAAGATGATAACATATATCAAGTCAATCAATAGAAAGGTGTGTAAAGTGGTGAAGACCAAGATTGAGATTGCCAATGAAGAGGCTCCCACCGCCGCCGAAGAAGTGCTACTCCAAAACAATGACATTGCTCTTAGTGCCATTCATGATGCATTGGATGAGAGGACATTTGAGCAAATCAAGAACATTGATATAGCTCATGAGGCATGGAACAAGTTGGAGGAGTCATTTGAGGGCACTCAAGCCATGAAGGGTGCCAAGGCATACATTCTCAAGGAGAAGTTTGCAAGCTTCAAGATGAAGGAAGATGAGAGTGTGCTGGAGATATTCCATAGGCTTCAAGTGCTTATCAATGATCTCAAAGCACTTGGAGAAGAGGTGAAGGACAAGGACTTCTCCCACAAGTTCTTGAGATGCTTGCCATCAAGGTTTGGCACATTGGTCACTATTTTAGTGTGAAGTGGTTTGGACACCATATAGAGATGATGATGAAAAGGAAGAAAATAAGGAGAAGAAAGATGAGAAGAAGGATGAGAAGAAGAGTGTGGCATTTAAGGCCACATCATCCAAGGGCAAGGCAAAGAAAGATTCATCATTTGAAGATGAAGACTTGAGCTTCGATGAGATGGATGATGAGAAGATGGCTGTCTTTGTCAAGAAATTTGGCAAGTTCATGGTG